TACTTCCGCCCTTTCCTGCCTGTTTCTTCTGGCGCTGACGGTTGCGACGGCCGCCGGTAGCAGATTGGTCGGAGCGTGCTACGGACTCGGTATCACTCTCGGGAAGACCTCGTCGGCCGCGACCGCGAGATTGCCGGCGTCTGGATTGGGATTTTTGGGGCAGAGGTTCAAGCTCGGATTCCTCGGAGCCGCCGTTGGCTTTGTGTTCTGCGTCGCCATTGGCTTCAGCCTCGGGTTCACTCTCCTGCTCGGGGGTGGGTTCAGGAGTAGGCTGCTGTAGAGGCTTCTTTCCACTGAGCTTCTTTGGGGTCTTTTTCTCAATGGTCTTCTTACTCGAATTCTGGACTCCAGCACCGCCGCCGACATTTGCGCTGCCAGAAGCCTGGCCTTCAGCCCCCACGGAAGCTTGTTGCTCTTCGGTCGTCTTGTCCGCCATTGTTTTCGCTGTTTTTCGCCTGAGGAAGTGTGGTTAAAGTGGTGCTAAAAGCTTCTTGAAAGAATATCGCGAATTGAATGAAAAGTGCAGAAGTAAGAGCAGATTGAAAAGAGAAAAATGAGGGAGCAGGAACAGGTTTGGGAACGAGAGTACATGAGATCCTCGCGACTTGCAAGCCACCATACCCTGCAGTCTGACGCAACGGCTCCTACAGATCACACCCCACGAACGATCGGTGGCGAGTCCCCATCTGGGTGTAAAACTTGACTACATCCTAGTAACTTTGCTTTCGGACTGGTGAGCCTCCCGAATCCGATCGTGCGCCTGCAGGCCGTTCCATCACTGGATGCGCGTATTCCTGCCAAGCCTGCCACAGCGTGCCTGGATGGTGGCTCCGTCACTACCGATGTTTTAACGAATTCATCTTCGATTACGCCCTGGTACTTGCCGCGCGCTGAGACAGCAAGGCTAAGACTTGGCTGATGGTGGGTTGCAGTGATGTAAACTTGTAGGTGTTGGCCAACATTTCGGCCACCTCGCACGCCAGCTCCGCAGGGACAATATGACAGTAGTGGCGGAGGTTAAAAATGGTCTGTGTGCCGAGGTTTACGAAAACGCTTGGAAGCTGGGTCGAAGGGTGTTGGAAGAGCCTCCTCTGGTGTCAGATACATGCGGGAAGTGTAATTCCATAGTACAGTAGCAGAGTTCTGAAGGGCGGGTCGAGGAATGAAAAATGGTGTCGTGACTGGAAGGAGAAGAGGAGAGCTCTTTCCAAAGTTCGGCTTGCCAAGGTACAGTATGCTTCCCTCCAACTCCAACCTCGGCAGAAAGAGCGCCAAAATTGACTTCAACACCAAACCTCTTTTCTCGCCATCATCGTAAACTCACCGTCGTTGGCTATAAAAGAGCTGGAAAGCAATTGGCCACCGCCAACCATGGCTACTCAGGCTTCTCAAGATACGGCGGTCAAGGAACGTATCATCCATCATATGAATGCGGACCACCAAGACTCGGTATGAGATAGATTTCCCCCCAATCGGCCGGTGTGTGCACGTCGTGATAGATATTAATGAGCCATAATGCTCTAGCTAGTGAGATATCTCGAACACTACCTCCAAGTGTCTTCTTTCGCAGCTCGGAATGCCCTCATGGAAGATATGTCCATGGACAGCATCACGGTAACATCTAATGGCAAGCGTTATCTCATTCCCCTGGAGCCACCAATGGATTCTTGGCGCGATTCGCGAGACCGCCTAGTCAAGATGGACAAAGTAGCCACCAGTGCCCTTGGGCGAAGCGAAATCACCGTGAAGGAATACCGACGTCCCCAAGGCCTTCACGCTGTGGTATTCGTGGTTTGCGCCTTCACCTTTCTATTATTCGCCCGCAATGCAAATTTCCTCCCGGGCTCTTACTCGTACCATGCCTTGCTTAAACACTTTCCAAACTTCTCAGCTTTCTGCGCTAGGATTCAGCCCCTGGTGCTGAACGTTATGATTGTTGTTCACGGAAGTGAGGCCTACTACATGGCTACGAGGAAGCTAAGGAAGCATTCCGTTCCAGTTGGGAGCATGTTGTGGTTCCAGTGGACGATATCAAATTTCATTGAGGGAGTGGGAGCTTTCCAGAGGTAAGCCTCCATTATGGACTCTTTGAATAATCGTTGACAGACCTGTAGATTCAACGCGATTGTCAATGCGATAACGACGGAGAGGGAGACGAAAGCGCACTGAGCTGGCAACTTTGAAGAGACCTCGGTTCATTACATGCTGTCAGAAGATCGTAGGAAACGTACCACTCAATCGTGGTTACTAATTAACGGACGCAGCAAGAGGGCACAGTTCGCCTTAATATTCTAACAATTCTATTCGGTATTAGTCCTGATCCGCTTCGGCTTGAACAATGTGATCATGTGTGACTAAGCATCAGTGAGGGGCCACATACGGAACCGCAATACCTGAAGGCCCGGCAGAGTTGCATTTATTCAATTAGTCACTATATAACTCCAACCACATGCAGAATCAGGACAGTGCGAGGACAGGAGATGACCACAAGTTCTTCCGTGTCCTTCGCATGTGCCCAGCCTCTCGAAACCTCATCCCGCGATCGATTGATGGTGGGTGAACTCTGAGCCATCTCAATGCCGCATGGTTTCGGGTCCCCGTCGTTATCCTCACCATTATTAAAAGGCCGAAAACCGGCTCAGAATCCTTCATCGTCGTAGAGGGATGCCGAACTCCACCTTCCTAACGTCTTGCTAGTAGTCATCATCCGCCTTTTAGGTAGTCTAGGCGCACAATTCCACCCTCTATCATTATCCAGAACGACAACGCCTCCTATTACCAAAAAGGCCGAAAAGCGGCACCGGCACCCTCCATCCTCATAGGGGTATGTTGAACTCCACCTAGCTAACGTCTCGGTAATGGCCATTATCAAGGAGTCCTCCGTACGAAAACCACTCTCCTCAGGGCCAAGCAGGTTGCCATGCGCGCGAGGATCGACAAAGTAGCTATTCCCCTCCTTCTCTCCAGGCGGCATTAGGCGGTCTCATCTGCACTCTCGAGCAATCTCATGAGATTTACGCCATTGAAACCAGTACTGCTCCACATTGCCCAGGCAGTTCATCTTCCGGAACGAAGTGTATGGGAGAGCGTTAGCTCGGTCTTTCATTGTTGTTGTCGCGCCAATTTAAGCTTGAGACATATGAATACAAAAGCAGCAGGTATCAAAGCCTTGCTCTAGCTCATCAATCATCTGCAGATGGTTTTGCTACAGTCACATGGTAACGTTTCGTGCTTCCGGCGAAGCACATATCCTCGCCTCTGTACTGGAAGCGCTCTCACGGAGCCCACTTTTTGGTCTTCTGGAACAACTAAATCCCACACAGCCGTCGCATGGCTACCCTTCGTTCGGCTAGAGGATTTCGTAGGCTCGGACGCTTGGTCCACGTATTCAATAGCACTCACATTGCTCCCTGATAGGTTGAGGTCTTGTTTCGTGATATCCATCAAAGTATCGGCTGAATGGGTGGTTTACTTCCAATCTTCTCGCCCAGAAGTCTCCCATACGAAGGGTTACAGTATCTGGAATTCGCAGGCGTCACAATCTTTAAAGTCCTTCGGGGTCCAACGAGCCCCCATAAGAATGCCACGCAAAGCTATTAACTCCTTTCCATTCTCCTCGTCCGGAAGTCTCCCGTGCTCTTCTTGTTGCTCCGAGAATTCGCAAATGCTCATCCCGTCGAAACTCTTCTCGGAGTTCAATAAGTTTCATGAAGAATATCCAGTCCCCCGTGTGCTCGGCCCTTTTCCATTTCTCCTCGTCCAAAAGCCCCCATGGTCCCTCGCGTTTAACCTATTCGGTGCCGGAAACTTCCTAACATCCGCGGCCCGGCGAGCCAGGCAAAGATTCGCAAGACTCATGAACTGCAAAAGCTCTTGCTAATTAACTCCAGCCAAGGCCTCCAGCAACATGCGCTTCCATGATTGTTTCCGGGGCCGGACCGACCCAGTCACCCATACTGAAGAATCCCTCGAGCTGTCTGCGACTCAATCATCCAGGCATAGTCCATGCTCCAACATGTCCATCGGCAACCGCTGGTTGCTCTCCATTGGGCATGAACCCTCCATTTTCTCTCTAAACGCACATGTAGAACCGGTTCAGAAGAAGCACGTCGGGAGATTTTTCAGCCCGCCCATACAGTCCAAGGTGCGTTCTCGAAAACCATAGCGTGTCCGTGGTCCATTCTTGGGAGGTGGTACTGAAGATTTCGATCGCGAAAGCATTGTCCATTCGACCCTCATTACCACTCACGCTGCCACATAACACAGTTTGCATCAATCTCGCACCACGCTCGCTGGCCCATTGGCTTTAGCGGTGTAACCTTCGAGACCAAGTCGTCCGAGCCCAAGGACATGAAGCTTAAACTCTTTCTTTCGAACGGCATACATAACGTCCCTATGGTTCCAATGTGATATTCCCCATAGAAGACAAATCCGTTTGAGAAATACTACTCCATCAAGCGGAGCCACGTTCTGCTCATGCAGCTTAAGGTATCGTGTATGTGTTTTTGAGGGGGTTGGAGAGGCTTCCATGATAATTATGGATATACTATTGATTCTGCCGAGCAGTGTTCCAACTATAGCACACCCGAGTCCAGTCTGTGCCGTGTCTTCGGGGGTTTTGTCCGGAGCTGGACACATGCCATGTACCTTGGAAATGAATGCTGTTTCCAATTTTGTGGCGTATTCAAGTAGTATATTCTAATGTTTTGGCATGGGCAATGAGTTGAAGGTTGCTTTGTTAGGCCCAGAACACATCATTTGACAGTTGAAAAGCCATTGATTCTCCTTCAAACGTTCTCAAGTTCCCTCCACGCTTGCGCATAGAGTCTTGTTCCGTCCTCGCAATTTATACCGGGAGCGCGCTCCATAGACGTGTATAATGCATATAGGTAGCAACTTCATGTTATTTATGCCTTTTGATTTGAGTAAATAGATAAAAAGATGGTGAAGCATAGCCCAACTGGTTATGTGGGAGAAAAAAGAGAGGGAAAAAAAAAAATTGCTCCCAGCCAGGATCGAACTGGCGACCCCAGGATATCCCAAACTTAATTTGGTTGGGTCATATGAAGAATATGAGACCTATAATTTAATAATGAGTAAGGTAACGAATGAATTGGAACACTTGACAGACTAACCTGTGTCATAACCAACTAGACCATGGAAGCGATGTGGAAGACGCAAATTATGTTAGTATATATTCATTATGTTCCGGTGTTGTGGCCCGTGCTCGTGCTCGCTTAGGAGCATTGAATTACGAGCGCCACGGTAGGCGAAGCCAGTCGTGTCGTTCAGACAACAAGGCAGCCACTTCCAACAACAGGCATTTGCACACGTATTTCATCATAGAACAACGTCCACAAGCCCAAATCATCAGCTTCTGCATTAAAATAACGGAATATAACGTCGCCCAAACAACACACCCATACGGGTGCAGGACAAGCAGAAGGCAGATAGAGTGCGAGTGTGTATAGAGCACTCCTTGCGTATTGTTGGACGATTTGGGGTTGAAACAGGTATTATTTTGATGAATTCTGATGCATATTGGCAATAAAAGTGACATCTGTTGATATTGGTGCCATAATACATGAACCGCATGAGTCTGAAATTAATGCTCCAGCCCATGTAAACCAATCCAGAGACATGTAACTGCTAAAACCTCTTGTTTGGAGCTCTGGCCATAGATGAACGTCTTCTTCCTTGATGCTGCTTCCAGATCTGCAGAGACATACGGGGTCGCTGGTGAAATTTTCAAGGGACTGGACATTCCCAAGAAAATAGCGAAAGTTGTGTTCATAAAAGTTCCAGAGTCCAGAACATCGGGTTCATTCTTTCTTACATGTATGAATCGAACCCGACCCACGCCGCTACAGCCATAGCAAAGCTATTCTCTTGGTTCCGCCGCGACACTTATTAGAGCGAAGAAACATTGTTCTTGGTCTTGAGAATATTAACTAGTCCCTAGTAATATGAAAAACATTGTCGACATCCCATATCCATTTTGTCCTTCAACCAAGACCGGCAGGATTGATGTTCCACGTATAGCCGTGCCTTGAGTGCAATTTCTTCGAGTGATCTGGACCAAGTCTGCGCCGTATCCTAAATTGTTCATCTCACTCGAAGAGCATCCCTTCCAAGTGCTGTGTTATGTGGGAAGAAGAGTTGCATGACACAAGGTTTATTGAGTTGCTAAATTGTTTATGCATCTCGCTTGAGGCTTTCTGATTGTTGCATTCTTCAAGAGGAAGATCTGCATACATGCTGCGTCCCTTGCTACATTGTCCATCTCGCTCGCAGAGCATTCCCTTCAAGTGCTGTTTTAAGTGAGAGTAAGAGTTGCAAGACACATTCGCACCAACTACTATCTGGTTAATACTGCTTGAAGAACCCCCTTAACTATCTTAAGTAAAATGGTCCTGGAAGGGTTCCCTTGCTGAGTATTAAGAAAGAGGCTGTTCCACATCTGACAACTGTCAAACGCTGTGCTCCAAGGAAGCTTAAACATTGTTAAGATGCTAGACGTAAGACTTCGAAACTGTGCTAGCCCAGGTTGGAAGAAAGAAAAGGACGGGAGAAGCTCGGAGGATCGAAGGTTAAATAGCTTAAGACACTCTAACCCTCACACAGTGGATATGGTACAACTCATCACCCTCACCGTCTCCAGAGCGTCCCGAACCACTCAAAGAACACAAAATTGCCATTGCCCATCACTACATCATCACACTCTTACACACCGCCACAGCCACATCACTATGCCCTCAACCTCGCTAACGTAGCCTTCCCAGCACTACTCTCATTCCTCCGTCCCAGCTGCCCAGAAATCCAATCCCCGACCTCAGCCAACTTCTCAATATCCACCCCCGTCTTCGCGCCTAAACTATGAATCAAATGGACCAGGTCTTCCGTCGCCACATTCCCCGTCGCCCCAGGACTAAACGGGCACCCCCCCAGCCCACCCACCGCCGCATCAAACGTGCGGATGCCATGCTCAAGCGCAACAACCGAGTTGACCAATGCCTGGCCGTATGTGTCGTGGAAGTGTAACGCCAGATCCCCCTTCTCGATTCCCGCAGCGCTCAGCACTTTCAGCAGCTCTGCAGTCTTCGGCGCTGTGCCCATGCCCGTTGTATCCGCTACCGAGATCTCGTCTGCACCCATCTCTAGCAGATTCACAGCTAGAGACGCTACTTTGTGGGGATCTACGTTTGGTCCTTCGTAGGGACAACCTAGGGCGACTGAGATGTATGCGCGGACTTTTAGGTCCATGGATTTGGCGCGTGACATTATAGGCTCGAAGCGCTTGAGGGATTCGGCGATGCTGCAGTTCGTGTTTTTCTGCGTGAAGCTTTCGGTTGCCGCTGTGAATATCGAGAGCTCAATATCGGGTGTTGAAGTGCTTCCTCGTTGAGAGCCAATTGCGTCTGCGCCAGAGTCAGAGGACATAGTGTTCAGGTTTTGTGAGGTATTTAGGGCAGATCCTCGACCGTTACCTGGAGAGGGTGGAGGGGTAGGGTATGCGTCTTGTTTCGAGGACGCACCGAAGGATTCATAGGTTGTGAGGAAGTTGTCGAGGCCTCTGGCGTTTGGAACGAGGAATTGGTATGTTATTGGGCTCGACGATTTCGGTGGGGTTTTCAGGAGATACTCTAGGATCTCCGTGGAGTTCGCCATCTGTATAGTAGAATGTCAATACTCGTCTAGAGCTCCTCACTCGCGATTCACGAAGATGTTACCATACCTGAGGTACCCATTTCGGCGAAACGAATGAGCCTGCCTCTATCGTCTGCAATCCGGTTTGTGCCAGCTTCTCTATGAGCTCTATTTTGGTCTGAAGAGGTATACTCTGCTTCTCATTCTGCAGTCCATCCCTCGGTCCAACCTCGACAATTCGGATGTGTTCAGCAGAGCGGCTTGCTGTCGTTGTAGCGAACGTTCTCCGAGGATGGCGAGAGGCAAGACGCGCAAGGCGGAGACAGGCATACCGGGACGACATTTTGAGGACAGACAGAGGAGTTAACGGGTCAATTGGTAGAGGGTCTCTCTTGTGGTGATGGGTAGCTTGGTGGTGAGAGACCTCGGGCTTCCTTTGTGCATAAGATTTGAAATTTGCGGGGAGGTGGCGCCGAAGCACGCCGATTTTTACCACCACCTAGGCTCTGCACTACCATTTACGACTCGCGATATCAGCACTGGAGATGGAGGAGGACAGAGCAGCAACAAATCTAGGTCCGGTGACAGAGGAGGAGCTGAATGGGGAGCCAACACCAATGCCAAAGCAGCCAAAGAAGAGGTTTGTGGGAAGGAGGACGGCGGAGAGAGAGGCTGGAGAGTCAACTCCAAATGCGAATATAGAGGACAGCAGAGCAATACAAGGTGTGAGACTACTCCAAAGTTATACAAGAATATCAAGCTCTATACTGACATCCACGGCAAAGTTGCTCAACCTCGAAGAACCGCCAGAGCCCTAAACAACATCCCCGCCTCTATCCTCGAAGACAAAGACATCAACGAAGCCATCGCGCTCCTCCCCCCAAATTACAACTTCGAGATCCACAAGACCATCCACCGCATACGCACCAGCGGCGCCAAAAGCATAGCCCTCCAATTCCCAGAAGGCCTCCTCCTCTTTGCAACCACAATCTCCGACATCCTCACTCGCTTCTGCCCAGACAGTTCGACCATCATAATGGGCGACGTAACCTACGGCGCTTGCTGCATAGACGACTTCACCGCACGCGCTCTCGGCTGCGACCTCCTCATCCACTACGCCCATAGCTGCCTCATCCCCGTCGCCGTCACCAAAATCGCTACCCTCTATGTCTTCGTCTCCATCAGCATCGACACCACCCACCTCCTCGCGACCCTAACCCGCAACTTCCCAACCGGAAAAACAATCGCGCTCGTCGGGACCATTCAATTCAACGCAACAATCCACGGCATCGCACCCGCTCTCCGCCGCGAAGGCTACGGCGTGCTAATCCCACAAATCGCACCCCTCTCCAAAGGCGAGATTCTGGGTTGTACATCCCCCTCCATGTCCATCCCACCAACCACTACAACTGCAAACGCCCCTACAACCCCAGACCTCCTCCTCTACCTCGGCGACGGCCGCTTCCACCTCGAATCTGCCATGATCGCGAACCCCCTCCTCCCCGCCTACCGCTACGACCCCTACTCGCGCCGCTTAACCCACGAAACCTATGCCCACACCTCCCTACACACCCTCCGCCGCACCGCTATCCTCAGCGCGCGTAAGGCGTGCACGTGGGGCTTGATACTCGGCTCGCTGGGGCGCCAGGGGAACCCGCATACGCTGACGCTCATTGAGGCGCAGTTACGGAAACGGGGTTTTAAATCCGTGACGTTGCTGCTTAGTGAGATTTTCCCGGGGAAGCTGGCGCTGATGCAGCAGGATGTGCAGGCATGGGTGCAGATTGCGTGCCCAAGGTTGAGTATTGATTGGGGGTATGCGTTTGAAAGGCCGTTGCTGAGTCCGTATGAGGCGCTTGTTGCGTTGGGGGTTCGGGAGGCGGCGTGGTTGGATGAGGAGGGAGGTGGGGGAGGGGATGGGGTGTATCCGATGGATTTTTATGCTAAGGAAGGGTTGGGGAGGACAAGGGAGGGGGATTTGGGGGTGGGTGTTGAGATTAGAGCTTGATATTTAGGGCGTTTAGGGTGTTCATGGTGTTTTGGTATAGGGACTTGCATAGACGGATGCATTTTTTGGTGTTTTAGAGAAAACCTTGGAGGAATTTGAGGCGGTATGGATATTCTATCAAGAGGGTTTATGTTCAGTGATCATGCCGGAGTCAGGCGAGAGACACTGACGCGGTATCGTTTAGAGTGAAATTCTTCATAGCGATGCACAGATGCTGAAAGGTGCCCTCTCTGTGGGTCTGGAAGGCCCTCGTGCAGATATAGCGACGCAAAAAGCTCCTATCTCTATTTCACCAGCAACTACTCTGCTAACGCAGTGGCCTTGTGTAGCTTGAATAACTGGTCGAGAAGTTCTTCGTAACGATCGCACTAAGAAAAATGGTAGCAGTCCAGCCTAGCCAGATCACAATAGCTACAATCTACAGTACGAAAACGTTGCAATAATTACTTAACTAGGAGTCTTTTTTTTTTTTCTTTTCTTTTGGAGGCGTTTGGAATGCATTCGGGTTGG